ATTTGATTATGACGACATCGCGGTTCCGTCCGTTACTTTGCTTGCCGGCGCGTCAACGAGGAGCTTAGGGAAGGACGTAGGGCGAAAGACTGAGGTCCGGGACGCCTGCCGCCCTAAACACTTATAGCGAGGTATGGTGACAGCACTGTGACATGGCGATTATGAGTGGTCTCTCAGTCTGTATCCGTATGCTCGTGACTGGGTCCCTGCCCAAACCTGGACAGGGGGTAATCTCAAAAACACGGAGCGACTGTTGGCGATATGTCCACACTGAAGCTATAAAATAAATCTTTGCAACGACATTACGGGAAGCAGACAGGCTTCACAAATCTAGTAGCGTGGTACAAGTGACGACAACGAGCCCTTGGCATCGGAAGTTCGAATGTGCCCGTGAGAAGCCCGAATCTCTGACCCAGGGTCAAGTATTTCGGCCTCAATTACGGTGGCTCATACCGCTCTGGGAGATACGGCATAGCAGTTGTCCTATGGCAATCGGTGGTCACGCACAGTCTACATACGAACCAGTCAGTGACCAGCAAGATTAGGTGCATTTTAATGAGCGCTTTGTTAGCTTAGGTGTCAACCAGTTATGGAACAGCACGATAAAAAAAACAGTCCTCGCCTAGAGCTGGTTTGGGCATCGTAACATGGCACTTAAATAATGTTCCCCCGGTTACCCAGATGCCATCCTTAGGCTTCTTAGCTGACTGCATGATGACAGATACGTTAGTGGCGGCAAAAGCGGCCACGTTCGTAGTTCGGGCCATGTTCTTAGTCCCAAAAGCTAACATTTGAGCCCTTCAAACCATGAACATACCTCATGCCATAGTTATGCCCGACCACCACAACTGATGCTCTGTATAGAGAATCTCAGTACTAGTAATCATAATTTCTCCTGCTTGCCAGGCAGTTAGGAGAATTTTCCGCCATCCTGATGACAGGATCGTCTCAGAGGCCTTACAGTTGTCTACTCTGAGAGTTCAATCTAGGCTTTACAGTGAATATTCCCTTCGTCAATTCAGAATGGTTGTATTATTGACGAAAACACGAGCAAAACCGAGCACTGGCCATCTGCAGCGGAGCCCTATCTCTATCCCTATAAGGTGGCTCGTCCTCGTGAAGAGATCATCCACGCGACGCGCATACCGAGAGGGCATCCGGGGGCAACATTCACGATAGTCACCAAGTCTTTTACCGGAGCTGGCATTCTTGCCCCACAAGGTGATTTAGATGCACTTCCTGATGATTGGAGTGAAGCCGTCCTTATGCCTGCCTTCAAGAAGGAAGAAAAGAAAGACTATGAAAACTACCCTTACAAAACCTTTTTCCTTGGTCATATGCAAGTTGAGAACGTGCGCAATTTTGGGGCTAAATCCGCGCAGTAGTTGCGTTGAACACTTATTCACATCGTTGAACACGGCATTTCAACCAGCAATCACTGGCCGCCTGGGTTGTTGAATTAACCACAGAATTACATTTCGTGCACGGGGACACTTTGAGAAGGCCAATGCAGCCAAGCGATGGGTGGGCAAAAACTATTGCATTAAGTAAGGTCTGGTACCACCCGCAGAAATGGGTCAAAGTTACCAACAATCTCTCAAAGTCTGTACCTACGCCATTTACTGGACGCTGTGGAAAGCCCTGCGCGGTCGAATTTGATCCAGAACCAAATGAACTAGGTCTGAATACGCTACTGACACCGTTTTGTTGGCACCATATTACGATGACCTACAGAGAGTAATATCACGGGTAAATTAGGACGCTAAATCGGTTGATTTATCAACTAAGTCAGGGATGACTAACGCGTTCTCCTGCTGCATTTCTTACCAGAATGCACATGTTTGACTGAACGGTGTCAGCATAAAGAAATATATTATTTCGGAGTTCTCGAAGGGAAATCGCTCGTGAACAGAGTAACAACGATATCGTCTCCGAACCGTTTTTTTTTACAACGTTAATTAAGCTGGCAATATCGCTACCGACACAAAGAGCCGCCTACACTAGGCATCGGACCAACCAGGTTTAATGTACCATTGTTAATGATGGGCTGTGCGCGTAGAGGTGCGAGGACTAAATGTACACAATGGGCCTGAAAAAAAGTCCTTAAATTGAAACGAACCAACTTTGTCTGTAGTGACTAGCTCAACATAAAGTGCACTTGTGAACGGCTGTCGTGACTAGCTCAAGTCGAAGCGCACTTTCGAAAAGCTCACTGTTTCCGGTCTCTGTAACAGCTAATCGCAGACTGACTCACACAGGACCTCATTTGACGACTGCCGAGCAGACCTCACATCAGACGCCGTCCG